GGGAAAAAAGAGCCCAAAATTTGGGTTAAAAAAGGGAAAAAAGGGGGAGGAGCCCCCAAAATTCTGGGGGTTTTGGGGAACAAGCCCGAAATTTGGGGAGGGGGGATTTTTGGGGGGAATTTCAGCGTTTTTGGGTCTCCCCAGGGCCGGAGCCGCTGGGGGCTGAGGAGGAGGAGGAGGAGGAGGAGGAAGAGGAGGAGGAGGGGGAGGGGGAGGATGAGGATTCCCCTCCCCCCTCGGGCGAGGGCGGCTCCCCCAAAGCGCCCCTCCCCCACCCCCAAAATCTCCTTTATTGGCCCAAGGTAAGGGAAAAAAACCAAAAAAAAGGAAAAAAAAACCCAAAAATTCATGTTTGAAATAACCCAAATAACCACGAAAATAATCCAGAAAAAAATCAAAAATCCCCCCAAAAAAAACCCGAATAACCCCCCAAAAAATCTCCAAAAAACCCTAAAAAAACTTCAAATATCCCCCTAAATCCCAAAAAAAACCTAAAAAAGCCCAAATTACCTCCTAAGCCCCAAAAATATTAAAAAAAACCCTAAATGCCCTCAAAATCTCCCCAAATATCCCCAAAATCGCTGAAAAAAAAACCAAATATCCCCCTAAACCCCAAAAAACACTAAAAAAAACCCAAATATTCTCCTAAAACTCCAAAATATACCCAAAAAAACCCAAAAAACCCAAATATCCCCCTAAACCCCCCAAAATACCAAACCCCCCCAAATATCAATCCCCTCACAATTTTCCCACCTTTCCTCCATTTTGTGACCCGTCCCCTCATGATTTCCCCACCTCTCCTCCATCTTGTGACCTCATACCCTCACGATTTCTTGCCTCTCCTCCATCTTGTGACCCCGTCCCCTCACAATTTCCCCACCTTTCCTCCATTTTGTGACGCCGTCCCCTCACAATTTTCCCACCTTTCCTCCATTTTGTGACCCCATCCCCTCACAATTTTTCTGCTTCTCCTCCATTTTGTGACCCCGTCCCCTCACGATTTCCCCGCGTTTCCTCCATTTTGTGACCCCATCCCCTTACGATTTCTTGCCTTTCCTCCATTTTGTGACGCCGTCCCCTCATGATTTTCCCACCTTTCCTCCATTTTGTGACCCGTCCTCTCACGATTTCCCCGCTTCTCCTCCATCTTGTGACCCCCATCCCCTCATGATTTCCCCGCCTTTTCTCCATTTTGTGACGCCGTCCCCTCACGATTTTCCCGCCTTTTCTCCATTTTGTGACCCCGTCTTCTCACTATTTCCCCGCAGGAGGAGGGGCTCAAATTGACCTTCCAGAAACATCGGCTGGGGCCCAACGGGGCCCAACGGGCGCCCAACCCCCCCAAGAAAAACAGCAAGAAACTGGTGGAGGTGAGGAGATTTCGGGGACAAAAACCCCATTTCGGGGAGTTTGGGGGAACCTCAGGATTTTTGAGAGATTTGGGTTCCCCTGTGTTCAAATTTATCAAAAAGGGTTTGGGGGTAAACACCAAAAATTGGGGTTTGCTGTTGGGTTTTGGGGTTGGTGACAGAATATGGGAGTTTTCTATCAGTTTTTTGGGGGTTTTTACCAAAATTTGGATGTTAGCCATCAGATTTTTGGGTTGTTTCGCAGTTTTGTGCCCCATCCCCTCACAATTTTCCCGCCTTTCCTCCATTTTGTGACCCCATCCCCTCACAATTTTCCCGCCTTTCCTCCATTTTGTGACCCCATCCCCTCACAATTTTCCCGCCTTTCCTCCATTTTGTGACCCCATCCCCTCACAATTTTCCCGCCTTTCCTCCATTTTGTGACCCCATCCCCTCACAATTTTCCCGCCTTTCCTCCATTTTGTGACCCCATCCCCTCACAATTTTCCCGCCTTTCCTCCATTTTGTGACCCCATCCCCTCACAATTTTCCCGCCTTTCCTCCATTTTGTGACCCCATCCCCTCACAATTTTCCCGCCTTTCCTCCATTTTGTGACCCCATCCCCTCACAATTTTCCCGCCTTTCCTCCATTTTGTGACCCCATCCCCTCACAATTTTCCCGCCTTTCCTCCATTTTGTGACCCCATCCCCTCACAATTTTCCCGCCTTTCCTCCATTTTGTGACCCCATCCCCTCACAATTTTCCCGCCTTTCCTCCATTTTGTGACCCCATCCCCTCACAATTTTCCCGCCTTTCCTCCATTTTGTGACCCCATCCCCTCACAATTTTCCCGCCTTTCCTCCATTTTGTGACCCCATCCCCTCACAATTTTCCCGCCTTTCCTCCATTTTGTGACCCCATCCCCTCACAATTTTCCCGCCTTTCCTCCATTTTGTGACCCCATCCCCTCACAATTTTCCCGCCTTTCCTCCATTTTGTGACCCCATCCCCTCACAATTTTCCCGCCTTTCCTCCATTTTGTGACCCCATCCCCTCACAATTTTCCCGCCTTTCCTCCATTTTGTGACCCCATCCCCTCACAATTTTCCCGCCTTTCCTCCATTTTGTGACCCCATCCCCTCACAATTTTCCCGCCTTTCCTCCATTTTGTGACCCCATCCCCTCACAATTTTCCCGCCTTTCCTCCATTTTGTGACCCCATCCCCTCACAATTTTCCCGCCTTTCCTCCATTTTGTGACCCCATCCCCTCACAATTTTCCCGCCTTTCCTCCATTTTGTGACCCCATCCCCTCACAATTTTCCCGCCTTTCCTCCATTTTGTGACCCCATCCCCTCACAATTTTCCCGCCTTTCCTCCATTTTGTGACCCCATCCCCTCACAATTTTCCCGCCTTTCCTCCATTTTGTGACCCCATCCCCTCACAATTTTCCCGCCTTTCCTCCATTTTGTGACCCCATCCCCTCACAATTTTCCCGCCTTTCCTCCATTTTGTGACCCCATCCCCTCACAATTTTCCCGCCTTTCCTCCATTTTGTGACCCCATCCCCTCACAATTTTCCCGCCTTTCCTCCATTTTGTGACCCCATCCCCTCACAATTTTCCCGCCTTTCCTCCATTTTGTGACCCCATCCCCTCACAATTTTCCCGCCTTTCCTCCATTTTGTGACCCCATCCCCTCACAATTTTCCCGCCTTTCCTCCATTTTGTGACCCCATCCCCTCACAATTTTCCCGCCTTTCCTCCATTTTGTGACCCCATCCCCTCACAATTTTCCCGCCTTTCCTCCATTTTGTGACCCCATCCCCTCACAATTTTCCCGCCTTTCCTCCATTTTGTGACCCCATCCCCTCACAATTTTCCCGCCTTTCCTCCATTTTGTGACCCCATCCCCTCACAATTTTCCCGCCTTTCCTCCATTTTGTGACCCCATCCCCTCACAATTTTCCCGCCTTTCCTCCATTTTGTGACCCCATCCCCTCACAATTTTCCCGCCTTTCCTCCATTTTGTGACCCCATCCCCTCACAATTTTCCCGCCTTTCCTCCATTTTGTGACCCCATCCCCTCACAATTTTCCCGCCTTTCCTCCATTTTGTGACCCCATCCCCTCACAATTTTCCCGCCTTTCCTCCATTTTGTGACCCCATCCCCTCACAATTTTCCCGCCTTTCCTCCATTTTGTGACCCCATCCCCTCACAATTTTCCCGCCTTTCCTCCATTTTGTGACCCAATCCCCTCACAATTTTCCCACCTTTCCTCCATTTTGTGACCCGTCCCCTCATGATTTCCCCACCTCTCCTCCATCTTGTGACCTCATACCCTCACGATTTCTTGCCTCTCCTCCATCTTGTGACCCCGTCCCCTCACAATTTCCCCACCTTTCCTCCATTTTGTGACGCCGTCCCCTCACAATTTTCCCACCTTTCCTCCATTTTGTGACCCCATCCCCTCACAATTTTTCTGCTTCTCCTCCATTTTGTGACCCCGTCCCCTCACGATTTCCCCGCGTTTCCTCCATTTTGTGACCCCATCCCCTTACGATTTCTTGCCTTTCCTCCATTTTGTGACGCCGTCCCCTCATGATTTTCCCACCTTTCCTCCATTTTGTGACCCGTCCTCTCACGATTTCCCCGCTTCTCCTCCATCTTGTGACCCCCATCCCCTCATGATTTCCCCGCCTTTTCTCCATTTTGTGACGCCGTCCCCTCACGATTTTCCCGCCTTTTCTCCATTTTGTGACCCCGTCTTCTCACTATTTCCCCGCAGGAGGAGGGGCTCAAATTGACCTTCCAGAAACATCGGCTGGGGCCCAACGGGGCCCAACGGGCGCCCAACCCCCCCAAGAAAAACAGCAAGAAACTGGTGGAGGTGAGGAGATTTCGGGGACAAAAACCCCATTTCGGGGAGTTTGGGGGAACCTCAGGATTTTTGAGAGATTTGGGTTCCCCTGTGTTCAAATTTATCAAAAAGGGTTTGGGGGTAAACACCAAAAATTGGGGTTTGCTGTTGGGTTTTGGGGTTGGTGACAGAATATGGGAGTTTTCTATCAGTTTTTTGGGGGTTTTTACCAAAATTTGGATGTTAGCCATCAGATTTTTGGGTTGTTTCGCAGTTTTGTGCCCGAATTTGGCGTTTCCCATCAGAATTTGGGGTTTCCCATCAAAATTTGGGGTTTCCTGCCAGATTTTGAGTTTCTCACCCAAATTCAGGCATTTGCCAGCAGTTTTTTTGTACTATTTACTGGTTTTGCACCCAAATTGGGGGCTGGGAGTTTTTTGGAAGACCCTGAGGGGTTCACAGGGTTCAAACCCCCCCGGATTTTGGGGAGCCACTGTTTTCACCCTGAATTTAGGTGGTTTTCTGCCACAATTTGGGGTTTTCCTCACTTTTTGGTGGTTTTTCCCAAAACCCCCGTTTTTCCCCCCAAGCTGGAGCTGCGCTGCCTCGAGGGGCTCCGGGACCCCCCGGGGGACCCCGAGGGCGCCGTGGGAGCCCCTCCCCCCCACCGTGGAGACGGCCCCGAATTCGCCGACCCCCGGCTGCTCCCGGTGAGCCCCAAAAACCCCGGAATTCACCCCAAAACCGCAGGGTTCCCCGCAAACCCCCCCGAATTCACCCCAAATCCTCTTCTGGTCCCCCCACAGTTTGTGGAGCAGCGACGGGAAAAGTGGCACCGGAAAAAGGTAATTTGGGGACGCCCAGAATTCCTAAATTCTCCAAAAATGGGGCTGGGGGCGGGGCCAGAGTCCTCTCATGTCACTCAGGGGGGTCCTGGCCCCTCCCACTCCTTTGGGGGTGGGGCACGGCACAAAGTTTGGGGGTTTTAAAACTAATTTTGGGGCAGTTAAAAATATTTAAGTCTCTTTTGTAATTGTGAGGGTGCAGTCTGACCCTGCACAACCGAGCCCCGCCCCCTCATTAATAATTCTCTCTCTCTGCCCCCCCAGTTCCTCCCCTCCCCCCCCTCAGGTTTGGACCTTTCCAAGATGGTGGCGCTGATGGGGGGCGGAGCTAGCAGCACAGGGGGAGTGGCTTCTCCTTCCTTGGCCCCGCCCCCACGCTTCCGGCCAGAAGCAGAAGAGGAAGCGGAAGCAGGAAGTGGGTGCTGCCCCCTGCTGGCCGACCCCATGTTGCCGCCCACTTCTGACTCTGATTAAGCCCCGCCCCTTTTCCTGCCGGGGCCACGCCCCCCTCCCCATATTTATATAAATATGTAAAATGTCTCTGTGTCATAGGGGGGCGGGGC